TTATTTACTATATAAAAATCTAATATACCACGTAGATCATATGAAAAATGATCTACGTACACCCTACCCTTAAAAAATTACCAGTTAATTGACTGTCTATATGCATGTGATATAACTCTTAGTATCTAAAACGCAGTGATTAAGAATTGGGTAGATTGGGTAGGTTATTATAGGTAAAATTGCTCTTCTGATATTTTTTATTAATGCTTTAAACATTCGTTTATTGTATTTTTTTGCATTGTAAAAATTTCCTATTTTATTGGTATTTGGATGTCCACAGCAGTTCCTTTATAAAACACATTATTACAGTCGCAGAATGCTTTCTTAAGGACGACTTTTATGCAGACAGTGAAAACTTTTTTGCTAGCTTTTCAGCTTATAAACGGATAATAAATATGCTTTGTCAGAAAATTCAATTAGAATTAAATGTTTAAATTTTAAATAATACTAAGAGAAGGTTTAAAAATCACCCTATCGCATCGGAAGATTTTTGATGGAAGACAAATCGAGTGACTGTTAACCAAGACATTACGTAACATGCGATGGCAAAATCCAAATCACGTGTGTTGTGTGTCAGCATTTCCGAAATTAAAAAAAAAAAATTTTAAACGGTATCGGTATTAAGTAATGCCTTAACGTTAAGAGGTTTAAACCTCTCACCTTTTTTAAGTTATACGTATGATTTTTACACTTTTTGCATGATGAATTTATCGAAAGTATTTCGGCACACCAAAATACCTTCGGTAGGAAGTCTCATATCATCCCTCCCCAACGGGATACGCGTCGCTACAGAAAATACACCAGGTCACTTTTCGGCAGTAGGTGTATATGTGGACGCAGGTTCAAGATATGAAACTCCACAGACAACTGGAGTAAGCCACATTTTAGATCGAATGGCGTTTAAGGTATATAATGTCGCGTATAATTAATCCTTTTCGTTTATCAATCAACGCTTTAGATATTGACTTTCATTTTCAATACATTAATAGGGTACAAAAACTCGTACAAGTGAACAAACACAAGCTATTTTAGAATCGTTAGGTGGTAATATTATGTGTGCTAGCAGTCGTGAAGCTATTATGTACCAATCAGCCATATTTAGTCAGGATTTGCCAAAGATTATAGAGCTTTTTTCTGACGTGATTCGCAACCCGCTTATTGACCCAGAAGAAGTTGCAGAACAGCGACGGACAGCACTTTATGAAATTCAGGAAATTTGGCAAAAACCTGAAATGATCATGCCAGAATTGCTTCATACGGTTGCTTATAAGAACAATACTCTGGGAAATCCAATGCTATGTCCAGAAGAAAGATTAAACACAATTACTCCGGAGCTTATAAGAGATTATATGTTAACATGGTATCGTCCTGAGCGAATAGTCGTGGCAGCCGTTGGAGCAAAGCATGAAGATGTTGTGGAATTAGTTAGCAACCATTTTGGGGATATACCAAGATCACCAGATTTCAATTCACATTTTTCATTGCCACTCTCCGTCACGTCATCAAATTATAAACAATCAAAAACGTCACTGTACAAAACAATAACCACAGCGGCATCATCGATACTTCACCCAAAACAGCCAGCAACTTCCACCATTGCGACACAAAAAGCACATTATACAGGTGGTACACTTTTACTCGACAAATCACAACCTCACACCCATCTTTATATATCATTTGAAGGACTTTCGATCCATGATCCTGATATATATGCACTTGCTATACTCCAAATGTTACTTGGTGGAGGTGGATCGTTTTCAGCCGGTGGACCAGGAAAAGGGATGTATACACGCTTGTTCACTAACGTTCTCAATCAATATTCATGGGTAGAATCTTGTATGTGTTTCAATCATTGTTATACCGATTCGGGACTGTTTGGAATTATGGCATCATGTCGTCCTGAATACAATCGCGCATTAGTGGATGTAATTGCCAAGCAATTCGAATCCGTGACAAGTTATGGACGTGGAGGGATAACTCAATTGGAGCTTGCGCGAGCAAAGAATCAACTAAAAAGTAGTTTACTAATGAATTTAGAATCCAGGATGGTTCAGCTAGAGGATCTAGGCAGACAGGTTAGTAACTTCTTATAATTTAACTGATAACATTGGGTTTAAGGCTATGTTTCCGAATTATATACTGATATTTTTATAGGTTCAAGTTCATGGTTTTAAAATCCCAGTGGAAGTGATGTGTAAAAAAATTGATGATGTTACATTAGAAGATCTTGTGAGAGTTGCAAGGAAAATTATTAGAGGGGATGTAGTCAACGAAGGGAAGGGTACTGGGCAAGTGACGGTAGTTGCTCAAGGAAATTTGAGTGGATTACCAGATGTAGTTAAAATTTGTGAACGATATGGTCTAGGTAAACATAGTGGTTCGAAATGGTTGCGATAGCTAATTTATTGGTAAATAATCTTTAAATACACAAGTTTTTGTAATAGAATTCATTCATTCATCCATGTATTGTACATTGTGTAAATGTAAGTTATCCATACTGATAATCGATGGGCCGTGGCGCAGTATTTGTGATCAACCCAGATTATCGTTACGATCTTGTTATAAATGCAGAAATGCATCAAACTTTTTTCGCGTAAAGTAAAATCGAAAAAATGTCGGCTACGGACAAAAATAACTTAAAAACAGTTTCTTATACAGTATCAGATTTATTACCTAAAATTTCTTCTTTGATAGATACATGTGACTATCAGTTAGCCTTACAGTTTGCTAAAAGAGCTTTGAGCATGGAAAGTAATAATATTATGGTTTTAGAGATTTTGGGAATGGTGGAAATAGAATTAGGAATGTACGATGATGCTAAAGAGGTATTTAATGGCGATATTGACTTTAAAGAAATGATTTTATTCTATAAATGAAACTTATTTCCTTTGTGCACAAGATATTTAATTATTATATATATTGTCATCGTTTACATAATAATAAATAGCATTTTTTAAAAGCCATTTCAATAAGTCCGAATCAAGGATATTCAAAATATATGTATATGGGTCAATTATGTGAAGGTCTAGAAGCTATTAAAAATTTTCAATGTGGTGTTAATTTAATGATTGACGAACACAAATCAATTACATCATCATCACAAGATTCACAAGAATCTTTAAGCCGTAAAATTTCTACGGCATTATGTTCAATGATTGAAATCTATTTAACTGACTGTTGGTAAGCTAATAAAGCTATTAGTAGAAAAAGAATTATTCATCTAATAATGTATTTAAAGTTTCGAATCAGATGCTGAATCAAAATGTGAAGAATATTTAAATCAAGCTTTGGAGATCGATCCAATAAATCCTGAGGTTTATCAATTATTAGCCTCAGTTAGGCTTTCTCAGCAAAGAAACGAAGAAGCAAAAATTGCACTGGAAAAAAGTTTAAGTTTATGGATCAATTTAGAACCAGGTATTCATAAGTTTGTTATCTATTTTTTATTTATATATATTATTCATTTATATATTATGTAATATACACTTATTATTTCTATTACTTTTAAAGGTGATCCATTAATACCTTCTTACGACATCCGAATATCTCTAGTAAAGTTACTCCTTGAGCTTTCTCAATATACTCAAGCACTTTCGGTTCTTGAAATATTGCAAAAGGAAAATGATCAAGTAGTCGATATATGGTATCTTTACGGATGGTGTTATTACTGTATGGGTCAAGAATCGCTGCAAAATAAAGAAGATCATTTGGTCCATTGGGAAGACGCCCGCGATTGTTTGGTTACTTGTGAAAAGGTAATATATATATATGTCTTTACTCTCAAAATTATTCTTTATAATTGCTAAACTTCTGTCATTGATACACTAATCTTTATCTCACGAATGAACAATATCTCCAATTCCTCAAATTGCCCATTCAAAAATACCTTGTTTCCTTTATATGTATATTTAAACTCAACGTAGTTATACCATACGACTAAATCGGATGACGAAGGCATCCTACAACATACACAAGAAATCTTACAAACCATCAGCTCTCTTGTAAAACCTTCATCCACATCGGATGATGATGATGATGACCATGAAGATAATGATGGCGCCGATGAGTGGGAGAGTTTCAGTGATGACGATAGTGATGATTTTCATCAAATGGAAATGTAAGAAAATAAAAACGTGTTCATAAAATATCATAACAACAATATTATTATTTACAGTAATAGTGATAAAAACAAGTGTAATTTTGACTGCTGATAAGCAAATTTAGGGCAGAACTCAAGTTAACCTGTAGTGTCTTTGTTTTACCAACAGCTTAATATAATGTCCCATCTCACAAACGCAAGTAATTGTTCTTGATCTGCCTAACCTATTTTTCTTGAGATACCCCTTGGTTGGGCGTTTAAAAATTCCATCCTTGATATCTCTGATTGGACGAAGTAGATTATGCCAACTATTGCATTTAAAATTCATATATTGATTAGCAATATTTATAAGCTTCAAATGTGAATTCAGCGTAATAAATAAGAAGCTCGAGGATTTGAACATAGTTTAGATTATAACAAAAAGATTTTTAACAATATTTGTACTACTGTATTGATGTTTTTTTTTTTTAGTATTAAGGTGGCCTTTGTGTGAGCAAGTTTTTATTGAGTTTAGAGATATAAGTATAACGATATTGGCATTGCATAAGGATAGTATATTTAGTTATATTTAGTTATATATATAATTTTAGTCTTTTTTTATTTAAAAGGTTTGATTTACTAAATGTTGTATTAGAGCTTATCTGTAAATTTTTTATTTAAACTCTGCTTATTATTATTTAATTAATAAAATATAACTATTATTTAATTTTATTTTTAGCTAATTTAAAATTTTAAAGCTAGATTCGGGTTTTATATATAGTAATTATTATTATTTTTTTTTTAATGTTAAGGTGACCACTTGGGGTCTGGCACGTTTTATTAACTTTGGTTGCGAATGCCTGACTTTGTTACATTAACGAAGGTACATTCTAGCCATATTTGCGCCTTTTAAGTGCCTAATTAAGTATCTACCTATTACTAGGTTCTACACTAGATGTCATATTTATAACCCACTATTACTTGAGTTACCCAATTAAACTCTCTGATCAACTTGGCACTATCAGATATTCTCTCTAAAGAGGAACTGCTCTAAGGTCCCTTAGGATTACTTTATTTTCATAGTAAACCTACTAGAGCAGTCTATATTTCATACATATATCATCTAGATTTTTGGTAACTTATACCTAGGCTATGGTCAAGTATTTGCAGTATTTCTTTGCTACTATTACTTACTCTTTGCCTTTACAAAGTTTACCCAAATCCCAGTACACATTTTATAAACTAACACAGATTTTCCTTCACTAGCAGTGCTCCAAACTCCCAATCCAGATAGACCAGAGAGGAACTAATGATTGTCCCCTTGGTATTCTGATTGAATCCTTTTTCCTTATTTATATGAAGCTACTCCTATATACACGTGGCCTGGTTGGTATTAATGTCTTGTCAAACACCTGGTCCTTGTCTAGTTTACTACTAGTGTCCAATTACTACCTCTCTATTCAGAACTTGCTAAGCAGGATTCCATGTGCTCCAACTCTTGAATTTATACAAATGTTTTATTCAGATTTTGTATAACTCTTGTATCATACTATAGTTTCATGTTCTTCCAGTACTAGCTAGTATAATCAAAGCTACAGATCTGATAATTTATAACATATTTCTTAAATTCAAATTTTGTTGTCAGTAGGATTCGAACTCTTGTTCTGTTGCTTGGGGTGCAACAACTTACCAACTACACTAAGTCGCCACACCCTTATATATAGTAATTAAGTTTTTACAGTAATCTATATATATTAAATAAAAAAAATATTATTATAATTTAAAAATAGTAATTAGTAATTATAAATTAAAATAAGAAATATTAAATTTAAATTAGTGGTTGTTTTTTTTATTTGGTTAAAGATT